CTGGCCCGTGCAGCTTCCCCGAAGCTGTAATCTTACTACATCCCGTATTATTTAATTAGAAGAAAGAACAACTGAGCCAGAAAATAATTTCTAGTCTTAAAATTCACATGAGGGAGACACACATGCTTATGAAATCATACTGATCTGTTGAACAATGCATACTGACACCCGGTGCCATAGCAGTGAGTGCTTCTCAGCAGCAAGAGAACATTAGGACTCCGAATCTTCCCTTGCCCCAAAAAAGTTCAAAATAAAACGCCCAGAACCTAACCAAGCCCAGGGTCACATGACACAGAGGGACCAGTTACAGGGGTGTGGACCCTTCACTGAAATCTCCTTGATGCAGGCAGGAATTTAAGCTTGAAACCAACAAGAAGAAACAAAATGTCTCAGAAAACCAAGTTGCAGAATAGTTAAAATAACAGCTTCACAAAGGCCTGTTCCAAACATCTCTCACGTTGAGCAATAGCCTGAACGGGTGACTCGCATGCCTATTTTTTCACTGTAATCACTGTGGTAGATTCACTCCCATGACGTTTTTGCAAGGTTAATTGTGGACTCTGTTGATCCTACCCAACTGCCTTGGATCGGAGCTGGAAGCATAAAGGGCAGGTCATGCAATGCCAGAGCGACATAAGCAGCACAGCTCATTCCACTCTGCAGGTAAGCTACAACTCTATTCACCAGAGGGAACTTCTAAATATTATCTTACACATACAGGAAACACAGGCCATCATATACAGAACTGACCAGCATGGGCAAACCCTGAGCAGAAACAAAATCTAAGGTCATGCCCTGAGGACTGATTGTCAGTGCAAGGACTGAGGCTTTGCATGTGTGCGTGTTAGCAGCTCTACATGTCTGCATATGTCAGAGGTGGAAAAATCAAGAGAAATGCAGAGAGGCAGTCATGTGTGTTGCTGCAGAAGAAACAGAAACAAAACTCCTTGGGGCACCGGGCTCATTGGAAAGGCCTTCATGGAATCAAGGAAACTGCCTACTGCTATGTTTCCCTATTGTTTTGAGGGTGGCAAGGCTTTGAATACTTTCCATAGAAACAAAACACGACTGTACCAAAAGTACCTGATTCCTATAGTCAAGGTCTCCCAATGAAAGGCCCCAAATATTAGTTAACTGCTAGGCCTTAGAACACAAAACACACCCACTTTTCCTCCACTGAGATTCAGCAGCAGCCAAGAGGACCACAGTAAAAGGCGAAAGACTTTTGCAATCTGAAGAGAAACCAGAACATGTTTGTTCATATTGTGAACATTGTCTTTGGTTAATATTTTCTTGTCTGGTTTGTTACACAATATGTTCACAATGGAGCAAACCTGCAGTTCTATTAGAAACAGCTTGGAGAGAGTTATTTTTCCTATAAAGTCTCCTATTTATCTACTGCTACTTTAGAATGGTGGAAAGTTCAATTAATCTTGCAATGATTTGAGGAGTTTTCATATTTATGCACCCCCAACTGCCTATATTGTAACTGCCACTTTGGGTTTGCTCACTGTACCTACACGGCTGTGAATATATGAAACTAGAGTTGCCCACAAAAGCTACAACCTTGGTAAAAGTTCAGGTAAAAAATGTTAACAGCTGCACTCATTTTTACAGATATATAGAATTTTCAAGACACTTCAAAGCCTATTAAAATATTTGCCTAATTTATTTCTGTTTTGGGGATCACAGCAACAAAAAATGAAGCTGCAGCAGGAGGCTGGCTCAACCTTCCCACTCTCTTGAAAAGGAGCCCTACATATTTGCAGACAAGTATGTACATGCACCCTGGATATTCTCAGGCCTTATAGATTCCAGCCTGACTTGTCCAGCCCTCTCCCTGCTAACGTATGTCTCTGGACCACTTGGCATGTGACAGCAGACGCACACATTTGGTGGGGACATTTTTAGAAACTGCCAAGCTATGAATTCACCCTTCTATTCGGCAAATCCAGTTCTGCAGAAAGCATTTCTAAACAGCAAATATGTACAGAGATTCATCCCCCGACTTCTTTTAAAATGATTGTCACATTCTTCACTGTTTCCTTACTTCCAGGCCCAGAATTACCCTGGTACTTCTTTATATCAATCTATTCTAAAACTGAGGTCAGACAGTTCTTCAGATATGGTGCTTTTACAAACCAAATAAATCCTCAGCCTTTCTATATATCAGTTTCTAACTACTTCCTCCAGAATTAAAAGCAGTTGTAGGCATTGTGGAAACATTCATTTTCAAAATACATCCTTTAGCAAAAGCTGTTCGACTGGTATACGTCCTGGGTATGCAGTTTCCCTTTGGGCACTTCTCTCTCTTCAGCTTTCTCTCAAGCTCCCCAGACACAGCAATTAAGGCCTTCATCCTCCATATTCCCAGGCAAACTCCTGCACCTGCAAGGAACTCCATTGCAGTCATTTAGGTGCTGCACAGGAATAAGCATCAGCCTAAATATATGAGCTAGTAGGACTTGAAAAGAGCCAGGAAACCACAATGCTTGAAACAAAAGCTATGCTGAAACCTCGAGGTATTAGTCTATTCCATGTAGAGGAGGAGATATAGTGTTCCCTCCAACCATCACTTTAGAGGGAGTGGATCAATCAGAGCTCTGAATGCAAGTACAATTTTTTGTCAATAAGCATTTACAAAATGGTGTCTACTTGGCAGTAAACAAATTCTGAGCATTGCTTAGTTAATAAGAGAGCAAGCACGGGTACCTGGAACAATTAGTCTTCTTGAACCTCGGTGCTGTCTTCCGTGAAGCATTTTCAGACTAGACAAAATAAAACATGCATTGAAATCCCATTGATGGCTCCTTTCCCTTTTGTAACCTGCACTCAGGCTTCACGTTATTGCCTTAAAATCCTTACAAGGCAAAGACCTCGATTTCTCTCGCACACAAAATGATCATACTACTGGCACTATACAAATGAACACTCTGACAGAGCACAGCACTGACTAGCTGTTAATCTCAAAACTATTCCCCTTCCTCCTGCACAGGTGGGCAGAAGAAAAGAGATACGAGGAACTTTGGAGCTGGAGGAAAGAGGATGCCTTTGGGGGGTGAGGGGTCTCAGAACTACCTACCAGTTTGCTGCCAGGATCACAGGTGTGGGTTACACTCCGATCAGGAGCTTCTGATTCCTTTTAGTTTTAAATCAACTAATTTAGTTTATTTTTAGGAACATTTCTTTGAAGAAAAATCTATACACTACAACTGTTTTTTTTCCCACTGAGTCATGCTACCAGCTTTTAATTGCTGGCTTTGATACCCACCTTGTGGCAGTAGCAGTCTAAATAATTAGCAAGAGTGCTCCTAATCCACTTTAATTACGATTTAGGTACTGCTAACGTGTCCATGTGCTGTATTGTCTGAGGACAATAAAAGACTTAAGCAGAAAGTAGATGCCTGTATGCAAAACCACACTTCCCAAAATCCCATTTGCTGCCTCACCTAGACGAGGTAGAATTCTCTAAGCTCCTCACTTTTCCACCGTGCATTTTCTCTATAAGTACCTCATGTTGTGTCTTTGCATTTGCTCAGAACTGTCCCACTCCTTTCAGGCTGAGCAATTTGCCATCTAGGTTACACCTGAGCCCAACTGGAATATGGAAATTAGGCCTTCTTCCACCCATTTCCCCTGAGGCCAATTCCAATAGATAGTCTCAGCTACCTACTGGTTTGCTGCAGTAGCAGGGCTGGTGCCATTACTCTGGTTGCATATAGTGTTTAGAGCAGCTGAGCAGGAAGCAAGAGACCCACATTCATTTCCATTCAGTGTCTCGGGGCATTCAAACCAACACTTCCCATAAGAAGGCTCTAATCACCTGGCCAAAGACATGGGTTGAATTCCCTTAAGCACAAAAGGAAACCAAACCTGCATCTCCAACTTCCCGGATGAATGTTCAACCTCCTCAAATACTACACCAAAAGGGAACCTACAATCCCCTCTTTACCCTCACTTATGTGAGCGCCTGTCTTCAGGAAAGGATTCAAATCTGTGGATCCTGAGCAAATGGAAGTGTCATCCTGAAGCCCTGGGTATGGTACCTGGATATGGTACCTATGGATTTAAGGCTCACCTCTCCTCAGCATTTTCTTTTGACCAATTACTGGGAGCAGCACCTGACTTCAGACAGCTCCCTATTCTCAACTCTTCCTCTGAGCTGTATAGGGATACTTTTGATGTCTATCCCCAGGTTCTGGATTCCACTCCAGAGGTCAGGTACCTGCAAGTTAAGCACTGAAGTACCTGACACTGAGGTCCCAATGTCCTTTATTAGAGCTGGCCCTAGGTGCTATGTACAGTGCATGATTCACCCATACTGCATGTCTCCAAAATGAGTCACTGCACACCTCACTTAACCTGAGTATCATTAATCTAGTCATAGCCTTTTGAAAAGCTATGTTTGTCAATGGGGAAAGGCCTCCCAAGAAAAAATGCTTACACCAAAGGGTCAATACGTATCAGATGTGCGTATCTGAATGATCACCTACATTGTGAAGATATACATTGTACTGATTTCATTGTATGCTTGTGACTGTTGCTACATTCCACTCACCAGCTTAGTGGCACCAGGAATATTCAAGTTTATGGTCCATCAGTGGTATTTGGCCCTTACTAATTGTTTGCAGAACTAGTTTGGAATCAAGGTATGAAAAAATAGCCTGTTAAGAGAGTTGGGTCAAGGCCTCCATCTCTCAGAAGTTAGTATATAGCTGTGGGGTGGCTGTTCTGCATTAACAAACCAGTATGTCCTTGCTTCTGGAAACTACAAATACCATAGTACTTCAGACAGGGAAGGCAGCTATGTTCTCTAAAGGAATGTGAGCAGAGAACAAGTGTCATGGAAAGGCATAATAGGTCTTTTTTCCCCTTTAGTTTTTTTTTTAAATGTTTAGTTTTGGAAGCTAAAATCTCAATGGCAAGTAAAAAGACAAGAGAGAACAGGAAAAGGAGTCTACAGCAATGAATTTTTAATATACTGCTACATTTTCAACCCTATTCAGAATGCCTGCCCCATTTAAACACCTTAATATACAAAATGTTGATGTCCACAGTGCCTTGTGGAGGCAATTTCTTTTGTAAGGCACATATATACTCTCAATTGCAAGGGTGAAGTTAAGATAAACCTGCTGAAACTTCCTGCAGGGTCAATTGCACTCCATTATTACAGCACAGATCTCCTGTCTGCTCAGCATTCCAGTATCTCATAGATTAGCCTAGAACTATTTTTATCCAGGCCTGGTCTTAGAGAGGAAACATTGAATCAGCTGCACTGTTTGACCACCTGCAGGCACTGTGCTTCCAAAAGCCAAGATCATTTTCCCCAGGGCAAGCTGAATCAATAAAACAAAACTGCTACACAGACAGCCTCAAAACATAATAGTCTGGGAGGGAGAATTTTGTTGATTACTCTGAATATGTATGGAATGATATCCTATTGATAATTCCACACAGGGCTGTTCAGAATATCATTTTATATTAAACAGGACTTTTCAGACTTCTCATTTAATTACGGTGTAGTATACACGTTTATGTTTCTACATAGTAAACAGAATAGCTCATGTTCCTTTGCTGCCCAATTCAAACTCAATCTGCGACAAGAAGCCATCTCATAAAACAAATACAGGCAGCCTAACAGGACTTCTAAATATTTATTAGAAAGCCGAATGATGAAGGTATAAAATAAATGCATATAATGATGATCAGACAGAGGCGTTTCCAGCTTTATTCAGCAACAGAACATTTATGCTATACAGTTTATCCCAAACTTGGGACTCTCCCACAATGCAGAAATATACAATTAGGAAGATTCAAGTCAAACAGCACAGTGAGGGACAGTAGGAAGAACCGTGATAGATGAGCACTTTATGAATTCCTAGATTAGCTACAGCAAGGATCTGTTGGAGAAGCCTCTGAAACTCGTTACATGTTCACACTCCACTGCCCTCTACTGGACGTACCAAGTACGACAACAGGCCTGAGACGTTTCCTTCCCACCACAGGAAGAAATAGCCCTGCTTCTTCAACTCTCCATACAAAGCCTTGTAGCGTGCGAGTAGTCACCCACTCACCCCTGCAGCTATGGTATGCATAGTCCTGGATTATTACAAGATAGTATGGTCCAAACTCACACCTTTGACTAAAGCTGACAAAAAAAGAGAAGCGATGCCAGCTGGTCATATCTGGTAAGGGAACTCTGCAGACAAAGAGTTCTTTCCGCAGGAAATGCCGTTACCCTCATGAGGTCTCCCACGGGGAACCTAACCTTCAAAGGGCCTCATCCTGGATTTAGTCCCAAACTTGATTTCCGTTAAAATAATGGGAAGCACAACCTGCATTCTATCCAGGGCTGCCTTTTTTATCTTGACTTGTAAACTGCTAAACCTATCACCAAAGCAAGCTCTCCTGATGGCAGCAAAGCAGCAGTTAAACACTTCCAAAATGTGGCAGATATCAGTTGCCGACGCTGTGCATCCTTCTCTTGCTACTGCACAATACCACGTGTATTGCTATCAATGCATGCACTATTAAGCAAATGGACACATTCATTGCTGCTAATCAAGAGAGGCAAACTCTGGAAATAAGGATCACTTTCAAGTGTTTGAGCTGGCCCATAGCAGGTGCTACTATGAAGTGGACGTTTATAAAGAAGGGAAACTAAGAAACTAAAGATTTTTTGACGTTCCTTGCCTTTGTGATTTTCATAAAGCTATGCCTATAACTAAGAGACACATTGGATGCATTTGTGCTTTTGTCTTTTGATCAATGCAGAATTAAAAAAAACAAAACAAAACGTGAGAGATGATGTCAACCTAAGTTCTGCTCCAGGTGGCCTTTGGGGTTCATGATAAGAGATGCATTGTTTTTGCTTTGATTTCTCTCTTTTGGTAGCCTCTCCTGAAATCCTGTTTTATGACTTTATAGTGTGCCTTAGGGAATCCTAATACAAGCCCTATATTGTTTACAGTAACGGCATGCAATTATCCAGCAGTGGAAAAACATGATCATCCTTAAGCTGTGCTCAAAACAACAGGCTTTTTTACTCTGATATTGACTGGAGACCTCCAAGCAGAGACGTGAAATAGAGCCATGGAGCACATCTGAACCATATTCTGAGAGAAAACTTTGGCCTGAAGGCATTACAACATGTACCCTGCATTACAAGACAATATGCAAGTTAGAGCTCACCACAGGAAATGGCAGCATGAGCTTCTGTCAACTCATTCCACCCCAGAAGGAGCCACTTTTATAAGACAACGACAGATTCACCATTAAAATGGGTGTAAAATCTCATGTGTATAATACAGTCTCCTTTAATCCACGAGTATTTCCTTCTTTCAAATAAGACTTGATTTATGTGGACAAAACGATTAGTTTAATAAAGGAATGTATCTTAGCTTGGGGTTTTTATTTCCTTTGAATTTGTTCTCTCTCTCTCACCCTTTCTGCTGCTTAATTCTTGGCACCTTTCGTGCCACTGGCAGGGCTACAGATGATCCAATCCCTAAGGTAAAAGTAGATTTCACACTGAGAGGAGAGAGGGTGAGGATTAAGACTGATGCTGTCCCATGAAAGTTCACCAAGTGCCTCTTGGGTTCCCAAACTAAGCAAGCAGAAGGATGTTTCTTCTCTCCACACCTCACTTTCACTTCTCTTCCACAAGCTCATTTGAAAGCAAAATCCTGTGTCTTCCTGGTCAGGTCACATATTCCATTTATACAATATCAAGTCCTGTCTGTTCCAACCCTCTTTCAACCAGATTAGTGCCAGGTCCCCATTACAACGAACCTCCTCATTACCCTCTCTCCTGATCTTTCATGCTACATGGTGGTTCTTAAGTTTTGGCACTTCACAAAAATGGAAAGAGTCTCTTTTTCAGGATGTACAGCACTGTGGCCAGAAATAAGGCAAGGGCGAGGAAAATGAGCAGCTTGTCCGTCAGTTCCCTTCGATTGTACTTGGTAATGAGCTTTCTCCCCAGCTGTATTGTCCCAGACATTGACTTAAATTCTTCATTCGCATCCAGAATGGTTCGTGAAGAATTGGCTGAAATGAGAAGGTATAAAGTTTTAGCTGACTGTGCTTCAAAACACTGGACAAAGGAAACATGCCTGCAGTATCTGGCCCTGCTGGGTCAGTCAGGCTGATGAGTAACAGCAATGCAAATCACATTCCTATGAGCAGATTTCACCACACTGGAGTCCTGATGTGTTTCAGAAAAGACTCGGAAGCAAAACAAACAGAGAGATATATGGAGTACAGATATGATAACAGGACAAGGGACCTGCTGTTTTAGGTTACTGAATTAAATTTAGTTCAGGTCAGTTATGAATAGAGGTTGTTGCCACATGAGACCTCTTTGGAGGCCAATGTGAAATGAGTTTGGTGGTTTTAGGCCCTAGACAGACACCACCATCCCAATAGACACTGATACTACCTGTTTCAATGCATGCCTGCATCTAGCCACAACTAAATTTAAGTAACTATCTTACATGAGGAGTGTTCCTTTGGGGCCAGGTAACAAATCAGTAGAAGTCAGGTGGAATGACACTGAGTCATGAAGCAGTCAAGAGTCTGAATGTTTCCTTAACTATTAATTTCCAAGCATTTTAACATTTGATTGTTTTCTAGACACAAACAATTAATTTACCATCTTTTGGAGGGAGGAAGGATGGCTGATACTGAATACAGTTTTTTTGGGAATATGCCCCAAATGTACTTGGACTATTAGAGGTTTTCAGTTTCCTGGTTTTACAAATCAATAACCCTTCCTTCAGATTACTGACTGATTGAAAGCAGAAGCCTGATGCTCTATTTTCTTGCTTTATAAAATCCACATCCTGTAACTGAGAAAATGCAGCAGGTCAATTTAGACACAGCTGAATGATTAAAGAAAGGTCAAACTTCAAACACTGTTTGCCAACAGGAGCAAGTAAATATGATAAATACAACCACCATGCATCAATGTTACTGCAAACTCTGATGCTCCATTCTAAAAGATAGGTCTTTGACCTAAAAAGAAAAAAGATAATAACTGATGTTTCCCATGATCGGTGATGAGCCATGGCTTCCTTGCTGCACAACCACATATCCACTGCATCTCCATTACTTTGAGAGAATTAGAATTGGAACTACAGACTCAAAATCCACAGCTGTGTCCTCAAAGCAGATGACCTCTGATAGCTCTTCCCACGACAAACTGTAAATGCCGTTCACCCGGAAACGGAGTAGCAGAGTGACTGCCAAACTGTCTCTCTTAATGGGAAAAGAAACATGCTGCTTCTGCGGGAAAAAAACTGTGCGCAGCAGTCATCCACAAACGGGGGTAGAAAGTTGTATTATTTATTCTGTCCTGTTCTCTCCCTCTCCTGCCCCAGCCAAGTTGGCACACAGCCGACTTCTAAATGGTTCATGAATCACCAATCCTGACAGCCCACTTGATTTGCAGTCTTAGAATCAAAAGTTAAAAAAACAGGCTAAATCCAGGCTTCCTAGTCCCAGATGCATCACTGACACAGTCTTGGGTACATATCACTTGAACTCTCTGCATCTTAGTCAGCTCAGCTGACAGACTGGGTAAAACAGCATCCTTATGAAGATTACCTCTGTTTGTGTATATGCACATCTAAATATACTCAAGACACACACCAGATTTTGTTTCCTTTGCTATTAAGCCAAGGATGCTAATAATATAGTGTAAATAATGGCAAACTATCTCCCCTCACCAGGCACACACCAAACGAGCTGCTTTTCCTACCAAGTCTGCTGTGGAGTTCCAAGGATCTCACAACCTGTTAAAGACTTCTCCATGGACTGAAAAAGGCCTTCCCTCTTCTTTCTTTTTCTGAACTATAAAATCATTCAAGAACATATCACCAGTCTGGAACTCAACTCCAAGCAACAGGCAGTTGTTATTCCCTGCTTTATGTATAATTCCTCATGCTGGTGAAAGGTAATGATTTACAGCTCTGGAAACTGAAGTCCTCTACTCATCTACAGAGCAAGCTCACCATAAGCGCAGCAAATTTCCACTACATGCACACACTGCCAATCTGCATCCCCAAAGCCCACACTGAGAAAAACCCAGCAAAATAACAACCAACGAACCAGACTGGATATGTACCTAGTGTATGCATGGTTTCCTCGCTCTGCTGGACCTGCTGAGACATCATCCTGCTAATGCCCATCAGACTCTCTGTGATGTTACTTGCGCCCTCCGCAAGACTTTCCTTTGTGGTTTTTCTGGAGGAAGACGGAAAAAATAAAATAGATAGGGAGATAAAATGACATGTCTAATGCATCAGACTTCAGGCTGCAACAAGCACCTTAGGGCTAGAATACGCCACCAACCATTACTGGCAGATGTACAAAGGACATGAACAGAATCTCTTAATGAAAGACATTAGATTACCCATGCTAAACCTTAAAGTGACCCAATTTTAAAGCTGTAGCATTTTAACACATTTGCCAAGCAGCAGCCAAGAGATGGGACCAAGTGACATCAAGTGTTCACCAACAGCCATATAATGTCATGACATAGCATGGAGACACTGACATAAGTCACCACTTTATAACACTGTATATCTAGTTTGATGCTGTTCATTCATTAAGCCAAATGTTTAATTCACAAGTTACATAAATTCTGTAGCCAGTTCTTGGTGTAAAATTCCTATCAGAAGCTGGTCTGTAACGTGCAATTGTCTATGGTAGATTTGATTTGAACCAACATAAAAATAATACCCCGACCTCGAAAGTAGTCTACCCACTCTCATCTCCGATATGCCCAAGGTGGGAAAACATACAGTTTAACTGAGAATTGTGAACCAACCACAGCTTAACCTACACAAAAAATGACACACAAGACATTAACAGAAGGCCCACTTTCCAAATGGAACCAAGCAGTTTACAATGTACTAAAAAGAAAATACAACATATTTAAAATGTACAGAATACAGATGCTGTTACTCACATTCTCAAACTACTAAAAGGAATAATTTAGTACCTTTGTCTCAAGGGGTCTCCTCCTTGCAACAGCTGATCTTTCTCAGAGTTGTCAATAACAATTTTGCAGGCTAGATTTGCTTTCCTCCAAGCTGCCTGATTGCTGGAATCACAATACAGTTTGAGAGTGATGGTGACAGTTTGCAAAATGACAATCATTTTCAAGGGACAGTCAGGTAGCCACAAAGCAGCAGGAAAGACTGGACACAGATACTGCAGCCCAACCTCACACTGAATGATTATCAGGGACAATTAACCGATATGTACGGTTTACACTATGAACTACTTCTGCCTCTTCCTAAGAAGAGAAATATCCCATTCTATTGGTCGTTTAATCTCCTTAGCATCTTTTTACAGAGCAAGACAAGAGAGAGCATCATGCCATGCACTGAAACCACCAAACCAAGGATAGAAGTCCTCATAATCCATCCTGGTTTAGACTGTCATTAGAAATAAGTACTCAAAAGCAATTCCGCTTGAGGAAAATGTATTTCTTTTCCTCAAGTGGACAACTGGAAGGTTGGATCATAGGACTGGGAGTCAGAAGCTCTGTGTCCTGTTCTTGATTCTGTCATTGATTCTGCTATTACCTAGGGCAAATCACTCTGCTTCAAAGACCTCGTCTGTAAGATCCAGATATGCATTGGTAAACACTGCATGACTGCTTGAAGAATGTATAAATAACATCCATGACTTCACCTACCTGAGCATTTGTTTTTTATGGTTCTCAACTTCCTGGAGTAAAGCTTGTTTCTCCGATTCTTTATCTTGTTCCCTGGCCATCTGTTCAAGCTCCTTTAACATAAAAGCAAATATATTAAAATCTGAGCATAAGCCATTGTGTTACGTACAATCAATGTTTTTTCTCACCTAGAGAACATAGATACATCAGTAAATTAAAAGCTCATGTAATAACAAGGTTAACTACCTCTCTGACAACTACTGATATCCTTACATTTGGATCTAGGTTATCCCACAACACCGGTTCTTAACCTTCTCAGACACAAGGTCCCCCCTCAGTAGACCCAATACATCCCTCAGAAAATGCCAGCTCTTTTCTTTCCCTTGTTTCTTGAGTATGGGAAAATGACAGTATAGAAAAATTATTCTGTTGCAAAGAACTCAGGAAGACCACAGCAGGTCAGAATGCTTTTGACATTCTGGGTTCTTATTTTACATCTCTAGATTTATTTTGTGAACTGTACGTAGGTGCCTGCCCACCTAACAGCACCAGTATTGTGTAGCCCTACACAGCACCCTTCACAGGCTCTCGTTGCTGAGAGTCACTCCACTGCCTCCAAACAAGTGATTGTGCAAAGTCGCCAAGTAGCAGGACAACCACCAATTCCTTCTCGCCTAAACCGGAAGACGCAGTGATGGAACCACACGAAGCCGTCTGCCTGGTCCTTCCTCTGCTCATTAGACCAGGGTCAGCAACCTTTTCAGGCTGCAGGGTGGACTGACCCAGTTTGGGTCAGAGGCTGCCTGGTGCATGGCGAGGTGGATACTAGGACCCAGCTGCCACCATTGTTTTTCCTAGTGGCTGCATGGAGAAAGCATTCACAGCAGGCTGTGCCTGTGGAAATGCAGGCTGTGGATGAGGATAGTCTCCCCAAGCCATCACAGATGGGGGGAAACAGTGGTGCTGGCAACTGAGTCCTACTGCCTCCTTCCTCTGAGCTGAACTGGGTCATCAGCAGCAGCAGCAGCAGCAGTCCCTTCGTTGGAGAATGACCTCTACCACGGCTCAATGATCGGTCTCGAGGGGACTTAAGAGTCCAATCCTTGAGCCACACATCCGTCTGCAGAAGTTGCAAGTCGTCCCGTGGGGGAGTAGCTGCAAACTGAGACTCCTCTCCTCCTTCCTCAGCTCTCTTCTCTGCTCCCAGGGTGAGGGGCTTTCCCTTGACACGGGCTGCTGCTCGGTGGAGACTGTGGTGCCGATGGCGTCAGCCTCCGTTACCTCGCGATCTGCCTTCAACGTGCGCCCGTCGCGCAGCCGCGAGGAAGTCGGGAGCAGGGTCCTCGCTCTGCCAGTCCGGAGTCGGGCCCGCACTGGGGCGATCGGGTGTGCTTGCACCATCTCTTGAACGCCTGCTCCACCCCAAATCTAAACCTGGCCGCAGCAGATGATTCACTTCCTGGCTCGTTATCGACTCCCTGCTCCCACACGGGTTACCCACCCACCCACCCTCTCTTTATCTTCCCCCATCGGGCTGTGCTTTGTCCTGCCCCTGGTCACCACGCCCCTATTTCACGGGTGGTTTTGAACTCCCTCCGATGAAGGCGCTCGTCTCTGCTTCCACCTGGACGGGGCGAGGCCTCTCGCTCCTTTGAACGGAGGGGAAACGTGTGGTTGTATTAGCTCCGAGGAGGCCCCGGCCCGGCCTCACCTGGAGGCGGCGCCGCAGGAGCTGGAACTTGTCCTTGACGCGGCCGTTAAGCTCGGCCAGCAGCGGCAGCGGCCCGACGCAGTCGCGGA